GCCTGTTCAGGTTCAGCCCTTAGAGAAACTGACGTAACTCTGTTCTCTAACTCTCCAGGTGGATCACGGATGGGCTAGAGTCCAGGTGAGCTGCCAGCCTGACTGCACCTGTCCCAGGCTTCCCTCCGAGAGGGTCCTCGGGCAGAAGTGACGGACAGATGCCAGTGGGCATGGGTTTGCATTCAGGGCAGGTGTGCGGCCCTCGAGGTCGGGCGTGAGCAGGCAGAGCCGGGCATGACCGGGAGACACGGGGCTCAGTGTCAGCAGGTGCAGAGGGACCAGAGTTCATGCCCGCGCCCTGGGGCGGGGTGGCCTGGGGATGTGTTTCTCCTTCCCCCCCGTCACCTGAGGTTGATTTCAGCAAGATCCAACCACAGGTGTCCTTCCTTGGGTTCCTGTTTCACGGTCCCCCTTTGTTTCGGGGTCTGACAAAGTCCCCAGAGGCCTGCCCGGGTCCCCGGTGGGGCCGAGCCCCAGCTCTGGCCACAAGGCTGGCTGCGCTCCCAGCCCCGTGGAATGCACGACCCCATCGGGTGACTTGAGTGCCCTCGGCTGATGCCTCCCATGGTGTGGGGGCTGCTGAACTTAAACAAAAAGCCCTTCATTCCTCTAAGGAGGAGGGCAACTGCCAGGGGCCAGGCCACGGACAATGGCGCCGTTGTGTTGGGTCCGAGCCCCTGGAAGCTGCTCAGACCGTGGCTTTGCTCCTTCTGAGAAATCTCTACCCCGCTGCCTTCTGGTTCCTTAGTGGGGGGGCTGGTGCAGGCATGCGGACCCAAGGAGGAGCCCTGGCCGTGGGTGGGGGTCAGCGTGTAGGTGGCTGGCGTGCCCCTCATGATCTCAGGAACCATCGCTGGGGTGTTAGCACCCACGTGGCCTATGCTCCCATCAGCGTAACTGCCCAAGGACAGTGGGGACCTGGCTCAGGAACCCGCCCTGACAAGTGGAGAAGCCACTATGATTCAGGTCTCAGACCCGGGCTGGGCAGCCCTCACCTGCAAAGGTGGAGCAGTGGCATCCTGCCGCAGGGTTTGCAAAGGTGCAAAGGGTGGGCAGGTGCCTGGCAGGGTGGCAGGTGTCCACTGGGCCCTGGCTGGTTTCTGAGGAGGGAGGTGGAGGAGGTGAGGAAGCAGAGGTTTGCTCCCGCTCAGCTTTGCGGGACGGGACATGACGCTCTGGCCTTGCCTCTCTTTTCAGGGTCTTTGGTTTTGTGGCCCGGAAGCAGGGCAGTGCCACGGACAACATATGCCACCTCTTTGCAGAGCACGACCCTGAGCAGCCTGCCAGCGCCATCGTCAACTTCGTGTCAAAGGTCATGATTGGCTCCCCTAAGAAAATCTGAGCCCCTCAGGCTGAGATGCCAGAAGGGCCAGGGCCGCCCTGCCGTGTCCCCATGGTGACCCAGACATTCTGGCTCCTCCAGCTTCCCGAGGACCAACACCCACACCCTTCCTGAGACGGACACGCCCATATGCCCCTTTCTGGGCAGAATTGGGCACCAGGCCACCCACCTAGCTCCGCACCCAGAACCCTGTGAGGAAATGCAGGGTCCCCGTCGCCTTGCCCGCCAGCATTTGTGGGAAGGGGACACCCAGCCTGCTCTGCCATGGCCTGAGTGGCCACTGCGTGTGGTCCCCACAATGGCAGAGGGCTGCTGTCCAACTGACGCCCTGGGGCCTCTGCCCCCCCAGGACAAGGCGCCATTAACCTCAGAAGGGGACACACCTGTGGTGAAGGTCGTGCAGGTCAGGCCCTTCCTGACACTGGGGGCACGAATGAGGGAACCACGTGATGGACTTTGAGGACAAGGGCGTCACCCTGGGCTGAGAGCCCCACCCCGGCCTGGTGATGGGCGGCTCCAGCCTTGCCACATCGGGTCAGAAGGTGCGCCAGGCCGTGAGAGGAGAAAGGGGGAAGACAGAAGTGAACGCCATTTCCATGTAACTTACAGTTTTTATGCCAAATTGTTGACCGCGGTTTGTTGCGGCTGGTCTGTGCTGGTGTCTCTGCTGCGCCTGCCACACCCGCCGTTTAAGAGGCACCAGGAGAGAGGCGACGTCCTTCCTGGGCGGGAGGTTCTAGGAGGGTGGGGCATGCTGAGCTCCGGAAGCTCCTGTCCCATCCGTCTGTGTGCCTGTGCCTCCTGGAGGGGGCGGAGGGGGACCTCAGTCTCACGAGTGTTTGGGGGTCTCCGCCCCCTCGCCTCAGCCACTGTGTCCATCCCATATGCTGACGTGATGTGGCCGTGCCGTGGCCTGTCACCTGATCTGTCAGTGGCCACGGGTTCAGGAGAAGCTGGTGGCCCTGCAGGTGCCGCTTCCTTCCTCAAGCCGCTGCTCTGTGGGCTCCGCCCTGAACTGCCCATTCTCTGCCCTGGAAACCAAGCACCAGCTCCTCCGTCCCCAGAATCACCAGCGAGGGTCCCCACCTGGGGCTGTGCCTTGTGGACTCTGTTTTAGTGGGTCAGAGGCTTGGGCGAGGAGCTGGGACCGTGGAGGGTGGAAGACCAGCTGCTCAGCTCCCACTGAAGCACCAAACGCAAGTGCCTCATTTCTGTGCCAAATGTCCGCCTCAGTCCTCCAGGGCGGACCCTCCTTCCACGTGCCGTGTGGCTGCAGGGACTGCTGGCCTCTCCCAGCCCGAGGCCCTGGTCCCCAAGGAGGCATCTAGCTGTCCCTGTGGGAATCAGGGCTGATGCTGTTCCCAGGAGGCGCCTTGTCCCCAAATGGCTCACACCCAAGTCTGACCCAGATTGCGGGCCAGGCCCCTCACCTTTCGGACGGAGGAAGAGGGGCATGTACGAAAGAGCCAGACAGGTGTGGGGCTGAGACGCATAACCCATGGGANCGGAGGAAGAGGGGCATGTACGAAAGAGCCAGACAGGTGTGGGGCTGAGACGCATAACCCACGGGAATCAGAGACCCAGGCCTCCCGCGTGGCACAGCCTGTTTCCAGGATGCCCGAGAAACTGGGCACCTCTGCTTTTCAAACTGACGGGCCGGCGGTGATGTGCCCTCCCAGTGGTCAAGGGCACCCGGAGGTTTGCTCCAAGCCATAGGCTCCTGAGGAACCCAAGGATGCCGGCCCCTGGTCTCTGATGAGCTGGTACGACAGGTCTCTTTACGTGTTACATGTGCATTAAACGGGACCAGATGCACCCATGACCGCTGGCTCAGCACGGGGAGGACCCTTCCCCCCCGGCTTCTGGTCTCCNCTCTTTACGTGTTACATGTGCATTAAACGGGACCAGATGCACCCATGACCTCGGCGTCAGGCCGTAGGTGAGCCCCACTGCCCGCTGGCTCAGCACGGGGAGGACCCTTCCCCCCCAGCTTCTGGTCTCTGGGCCACTGGTGGGCACAGGGCACTGCCCTGGGCACTCACCAGAAGTGTGTTCCCTCCAGCGTCACAGCCAGGGCCCCTCTAACCCTCCATTAACCGTGCGCTGTGTCCCTCAGTGTTAACCTGTAACCCAGTTAAGTCACCCGTGTAAGGGTCTCTTATGTTTCCTTGGCATCGAAGACCTCGTATGTCTCCTTCTCTGCCTTAACTCCTAGTGGGATTCTTCTTTTTCTCATATTGTAAAGAGTATATCCAGTGTGTAAATGAATGTTCTATAAGTCCTTTGTATAGTCGCATTCTCTGCTCTTAAATATCATCTCTATTCAGAGTATAATAAAATATTAACCTTGGTAAGCTGTGAGGCATCTGCTTCCTGTGTTGGGTGGAAGGGCCTGAGGGTGTGTGCAGGTGTGTGCAGGTGTAGGTGTGTACATGACGTGTGCATGTGTGTGTATATGTCTGTGTGGGCCTGTGTGTGTTTCTTTGGGAGTGAGTAGGGGATTGCTTATGGGTTCAGGTATAAATTGATGGGTCATTGGCCTTCAGGAATAAATCTTTAAGATTTCTTCCCGGAGACTTTTGAACAGGTGTATCCAGGGTGTTAAGAATGTAATTCCATGCAGGTGGTGTGGGTGCCCGGAGGTTTGTGCTGTTCAGCCCCCGATGGGACTTGCCAGGTGTCACTGGTTGGGCCCTAACTGAATATGGAAAGTCGGGTACATCCCCCCCATTTTTTCGGCAGGTGCTGGTGACAGGCGGTGTCCCTGTTTGCCAAGAGCATGCCAGCACCTGCCCCTGAGCTAAGCTTGAGATGCACACAGTTCTTGGCTGCGGAGCTCAGGTCTCCCCAGCACCCANCACTGCCCTGGGCACTCACCAGAAGTGTGTTCCCTCCAGCGTCACAGCCAGGGCCCCTCTAACCCTCCATTAACTGTGCGCTGTGTCCCTCAGTGTTAACCTGTAACCCAGTTAAGTCACCCGTGTAAGGGTCTCTTATGTTTCCTTGGCATCGAAGACCTCGTATGTCTCCTTCTCTGCCTTAACTCCTAGTGGGATTCTTCTTTTTCTCATATTGTAAAGAGTATATCCAGTGTGTAAATGAATGTTCTATAAGTCCTTTGTATAGTCGCATTCTCTGCTCTTAAATATCATCTCTATTCAGAGTATAATAAAATATTAACCTTGGTAAGCTGTGAGGCATCTGCTTCCTGTGTTGGGTGGAAGGGCCTGAGGGTGTGTGCAGGTGTGTGCAGGTGTAGGTGTGTACATGATGTGTGCATGTGTGTGTATATGTCTGTGTGGGCCTGTGTGTGTTTCTTTGGGAGTGAGTAGGGGATTGCTTATGGATTCAGGTATAAATTGATGGGTCATTGGCCTTCAGGAATAAATCTTTAAGATTTCTTCCCGGAGACTTTTGAACAGGTGTATCCAGGGTGTTAAGAATGTAATTCCATGCAGGTGGTGTGGGTGCCCGGAGGTTTGTGCTGTTCAGCCCCCGATGGGACTTGCCAGGTGTCACTGGTTGGGCCCTAACTGAATATGGAAAGTCGGGTACATCCCCCCCATTTTTTGGCAGGTGCTGGTGACAGGCGGTGTCCCTGTTTGCCAAGAGCATGCCAGCACCTGCCCCTGAGCTAAGCTTGAGATGCACACAGTTCTTGGCTGCGGAGCTCAGGTCTCCCCAGCACCCAGTGGGCCTCGGTGGGGGGTGCCTCCTGCCACCTGGGCCAGGACACGCCCACGCGAGCCCCCGGATGGCACAGGTGGAGTCTGCAGACCATCAGCCTGCGCAGCGCCCTGGGAGCTGGCCCCGGTCGCCCTGAGCTGCAGCGGCAGCTCCTACAGTTCAGGGCGCACGCCGACGGCTGAAGCGACAGCTGCTGGCACGTGGGCACCTGCGGCGGCGATGCGGGTGGCCCGTGCCCACTTCCTCAGAATGACCCTCGGGGACGCAGGCCTGGAAAACCACGAAGAATCAGTTCTTTACAGTTGCCCTCAGTTTGGTTTTAAC